TGCTATCCTAGAAGGGCTGTCCAGTTGCCCTGGATGCTGCTGGACATCTCTGCTGCCCCAGGTACTGAGATGAATGACCACTGGTCCAAGGGCCAACCATGTGCAGGTTTGTGTCAACTGCCAGTGGTCATCTCCACCTGTTGCTTTGCCACTCCCTCACTGCTGCAGGACTCAATAAATTAGGTTTGGACTGAGATGATTTGCAGATGAGTTGTAGATGAAGATGAATTGCACAACAGAAACCTGTGCATGACGAAGTTTTAAGTGGAACAGCTGTTGTGCAGGGGCAGTCCCACTCTCTCAGCATGAGAGACCTTAATCCAGTGGCACAGAGAACTGTTATGGCTGGAGATCTCTCCTGCTGCAGCGGATTACCAGGATGTCTAAGTGTCTTGTCGTGCTCTTAGCGCTCCACAACGCCTGCTGGGCCTGCTTTCTTGACCATTGGACCATTGATCAGCCTCCTCCACTCAATCTGCCAGGGCTAGACTTCACACGCTGGGATAGACAAATCCCCTATCTCACCAAGAGTCAAAGATGGCTACTCTCACCTAGTTTGGGCCGTCTGCTGAGAGTTCAGGTATAGTTACCATTTCCCTCTTAGTTTAATTCTAACTGCTCTAGTCAACCCTGTGATTCAAACCAGCTCATGCACCATTCTTTTACATCCCTTCCAATCTGTTCCACATACAAAGTAATAGATAAGTATTGAATCTATGAAGCTTTTAGCTTATTTATTTATTTATTTATTTATTTATTTATTTATTTATTTATTTATTTATTTATTTATTTATTTATTTATTTATTTATTTATTTATTTATTTATTTATTTATTTATTTATTTATTTATTTATTTATTTATTTGTCACATTTATATAGCCACCCATCTCACACAAAGCAACTCATGCATGATCAACAGTGGAGCACATACAATCCACTGGCAAGAAAAGAGCTGGTATCTGCACTTGTTGCAAATGGCATAGTAACACTGACCTGGGGAAATTATTTTGTACATGGAACTTTGTAAGAATTCAGAGGTTCCCAGGACCACTGCAATAGTTAAGTGAAGCCTGAAGCAGCATTGTATCATAGAAATATGGCGGAAGCCATATATCATGTTTTTACAGTAATTTCTATTCCAATTGAAAAAAAAGTACAATAAAGCTGCTTTCTAATACCTGGTTCTGTTGGTATAAGCCTCATTATACTCACTGGCTGGGTTAACTACACACACACACACACACACACACACACACGAACTGTGGTATCAGCTAACTTATTTAAATATGCAGATTATGAATTGGAAAATGTTAGGCCATAGATAAATGTATATATTATAATGAAGTAACTTATAGGATTTTTCTTACGATATGCTATTTTTCAATTATTGTATGATTGAATGTATCTGGTCTTGTTATTTATAATAATCCTAATTAATTGTTAGCCCATAGCAGTATCTCAATCTTGTTTGGGCTCAAAAGTTAAATAGGGTCAGACCTGGTTAGCACATGGATGGAAGTCAGGCATGGGTATCCACAGCATGATCAAAAAACTCAAGATGGAGGACAGGATCAAAGCCCTGCCCCCTTTCACGTACATGCAACGACCCTCTTTAAAAAGGGATGAGGCTTTGATCATGTAGTTGCACCTGCCATCTTGACTTTTTGACTGCCCCTGTGGAAACCCTTTGCCCCAGAGTCCTTTGGGGCTTTGGGTTAAAGTGTGAAGTTGAAAAATTTACTGGAAGAAGACAGGCAAACCACTTCTAAACTCAAGAAAACTGTACTGATGTGTCCAAGTAGTCACCAGGAATAGAGCTGGAATTGAGAATTTTTTTCCTTCTTTCCTTAATAAAAAGAACATATTAAAACAAAGATTTAATTCTGAGAATAAATGTTTATTATTTTGAGTTAATGCAGTGTTTGAATTTGGTAAGTGTCAATGATTAATAATGTTGCGAGAATGATAAGACGACTCAATGGCTAAGCTACAAGTCACAAAAGCTTAACAGTTGTTGACAAACCTCAGAGTATCGGAGGGGTCAGAGAAGGCTACAGGGAAAGCTGAAACCCACTTCATAGCAGCAGTTGAAAACCAAATGAGAAAGATCAACATTTTGTTAGGTATGGAGGGACTCCTTGTGCTGTTTCTCAGCAGGAGGCTATTCCAGGTGAGCCATGGAATATTTTTTTGCTCCTGATCTAAAAGTCTACATGTGTATTCCAGTCAGAGCACTGAAACAACTATTTTATTTAAAGGGACTGTGATGTTTCAAAATTACTGTACTGCCAATATAAACGTAAAGCTATGACTTAAACTCAGAACTATTACTGGGAAATTAGCATAACTCTTTTGTGAACAAGAGGATATAGATATCCATTTTTAATTTCTTTCCCTAGATAGAAAGATATACTTCTGCATATAACAGCAGCCCTGCTGGATCCAGACTAAGACCCATCATAGTCTAGCATTTAGTTTCCCCCTGAGGCCAACCAAATGCCTCTCAGGTACTTGCAAGAAGAGGCAGAGCCATGCCCTCCTCCCACCCTTGGCTTCTGCAACTGGTACTTGGAGGCACACTGTCCCAACCTTTAAGTAACAGTGAATCTTAAAGATCAATAGCCCTTGATAGACCTGTCCTCTATTAATTTATTCAATCTAATTCAAAGCTGTCAAAAACCAAGCTAACATACTTGTACTATCCATTATGACACCACTATATTTTTCTTGGTTAGTGACATTCAGACCCCATCAGTGTTAATATGAAGGTAATGATTTTGATTCAATTGTATACTTTACATTTAGAGTGAATTATGTCGGTCATTGGTTGACATTCAATCTAAATAGATCCTTCTGGAGTTCTTCAAATCCTGTTTGTTTACCAACCTGAATTGCTTAATTTCATCTGCAAACTTGGCCAGTTCATTGCTTATCACTAAGTCAAGATCATTGATAAACAATTTGAAGTCCAGTAGTCCAACCACAGATCCTTAAGGGAGACTCACTTCTTACTCCTTGTCCTGAAAAAATTGTCTATTTATTCTTATTCTTTGCTTTCTGTTTTTTTAACTATCTGCAGTCCATAAAATGACAGATGTTTTAATTCCTATGGCCACTAAGATAACCAAGTCTTTAATAAGGTACTCTGACAAAGGTATTTGAAAATCCAACTATTACATTATTAACACAGTCGTCTCCAGCTAGATCCCTTTAAAAAAAATGTGTCACATTGGATGCCTTCCAATTCTTTGGCACTGAGCCTGAATTGAATGCCAAGTTACATATTTTTGATAGGTCAACAAATTCACATTTGGGTGCTTTAAAAACTTTTCAGGATCAGGTTGTTATGTATAGTCTCTCAAGATGTCCTAAAATGTATATTCTTGTTATTTCAATTTGATTGAATTGTTCCATTCAGGCTTATGTATCTGTGGTATCTTTTGTAAAGACAGATTACATATGCAATGAATTCAGATTCTCTGTAATCTCCATATCCTCACTATGAAGTGTCCCATTTTTTGGTTATCTAATGACCCAACCATTTCCTGTTTTTGTGCTCCAAATAAACATATTTATTTGACCAATTGATACTGGTTACCCCTGGTGTGTAAATGGAATCCTTAGAAATCACATTCAGCTGGACTAAGCAGCCATTGGTCACCACTGGTTGTTTCCTCCCGATGTGCCTATGTGGCTCACAAATGATGCCCACTGGTTTAAGGCAGCGGCAGATAACCATCTTGACTAGCATCATATCTGAAATTTTAAGAATTTGCAATGAGTGCATTCACAAGTTGGGTACTATGGGAGTCTTGTCTATTCTTAAAAAGGCCATTCAAGTGAGTTTAGCAAATTATTCAACACCAATTTACCAGAAGACAAACTCATCTCCAGGGATACTCCTTACCATACCAGTGGGGCCTGTGTCAAATCATGTTTGCAACCATTTATTCTTCTATACCATTTTCAGACTTTTTCCTTTACCTACTCAACATACCCCCCAATTCTGTCTCCATGTTACTGTGCTGATTCACTTCCCATTTTTCCTTTATTTTAGAATTTTATCTGTGACATCATTAAACTGTCCTTATAAGCTACCTATACTGCTTCATGGCTCAAAGGAATTTCTGGACATACATAGGATGCTAGAGGCTAGTATTTTGTTTTGCAACATTCCAGCTTATTATTTTTAATCAAAAGAATCTGTAAAAAGTCAAGTGGGGCGAGAAGCCCCAAGGGAGGCAGTCTGGCTCAGACTGAGGCTCCCAGGCACTCTGTTGTTTATCCTGGGTTTAAGGTTTTGATGTCACGGTGACTTCCACCCAGCTAATTAAAACAGCAATTACATTTGTTTCTCTGGTAAAAGGCAGGCAGAAGTTATTGCTGTAAAATAATCTCCAAACAAGACAATGATGGCCATGGGCAAGCTATGTGGGACTGCAGAATCCAGAACATGCAAGATGCATCACTGGAATTCTATCATCATTATAATGAGGCCATACATTTTTACTATTCCAAATGTATGAAGGATGAAATAATTTGTCCTCAGTGACATTTTATAATTCTTTTATAAAGAAAAATTGTTATTGATATGTGAATGAGTACAATATGAGTAAAACCCAAAATTAAATAAATCTCACTGTATTTCAGAAACTTAGGTGTTGAAATATCTATCACTAATATCAAATAAAAGGTTAAAAATATACTTACCGTTGCTGTAGAATGTGCATGCAACACAACTAAATTCTAAAATTCATAGAACACAGAGCAGCAAGTAGTCCATCTATAGGAATCTGAATGAAACCAAATACTGTATAGCTAGAGACACATGAAACAGACATTATAAAAAAATATCTGAGTTGGTCATTAAGAAATCAGTTTCTTTTTACCTACTGCAAATCTTTTGTCAGAAGCAAACAGAAGTATTTACTATCAGTATAAATATTCAGAAAAACCAAGAAAGAAATCCAGAGTAAACTTTTAACTTTTATAGCTGTTTGAGGTTTTATTATATTTCAGAATGTGGAAGATACATGTTTAGCTAGAATCATTCTCTTTCTGTCCATTTGGAACATCTTAGCATCCAAACAACATCCAAGTTCTAACCCTTCCCCCTGCCCCCCAATATACACGAAGGCTTATTTTCTTTGGACTAATAACAAACTCTCATTAACATCAGTAGTAACAAAACATGTCACTGCCATGGATGTTGTATGGGCAATTGAAGGTTTTACATCATTTTGGCTATAATACGGAACTTAGTTCAGCCAGTCTTTAAGTTGTTCATTGTTTCTGAAGGTGTACTTTCGGAAGTTCACCATCTGCTTATTTACATAATAGCAGCAATAAGTTAACAACTTACTCCAAAAGATCATGTGAAATATGCTTAATTCCTACATATCTATTATGTTTCACATAAACAATAGGATTTCACATTAAGCATATACTTTAATGCTTGGAGTTGCTAAATAATTGTTTTGGCTCAAACATTTTATTTCTGTGACATTAGAACCGAAAGCATTTACAAAGTATTCACTGTAAGTGGTTTTACTATTAAAAAACCCCCTAATATTAAAAACACAATAATTTCAAGCTACCTTACAAAGATAAAGTCAAAGGAGTAAGGAATATTTTTAGTAAAACAGACTCAGTTAAAGTACCTGTGCTCATTGCTATGGAACGCTAATCATAAGCACAACACAAAATATATGAAAATTTGTAATGAACAAAGAATCCTGCACTATTATTTGTAATCTATAGCCAGGACCTAAATTGCTTTGAATATAAATCAAAGATTCATGACTATAAAAATATCTACATTTGAAATATCATTATAATATGCAAATGTAACAAGGTATAGAGCATATGAGATGACTTGAAAACCTACCTCCAACTGTTTCCTTGGCAATTCAGGGTGATGATGTTTTTACAAATCTAAAGTTTTTCAGGATTTAAAAAATTGCATTAAATTCAGTACAACTGAATCTAGATGAAGATATAAAACTAAGCACAGAATTTCATAAAAATAAATATAGCCTCCTTAGAACTAGCTTGACTCCCGATGGCTACTTAGAAATGTCGATAACTGTCTTGATGAAAATATAGAAATGGTTTGCCTTCTTCCACAATGATGATCATTATAACAGTTAATTAATTATGAGGATATTTATGATTTTACTTTACTAAGTTAGGCCATTTTGTTGTGCAACTCTTCAGGTCACAATGATCAGTTTTTCAAAAGTGAGATTGCAGTATTTATTTTCTATATAGAAGCAAATGTTTCTAACAAAATTAAAAGTAGCCTTATAAACCTTCATGACTCTAGCTTTCTAAGACACGTAGCCACTATAATGAAGTTACAAGCTTTCAAGTTTCTTTTTAAAAAAAATCAAAGGTCTTAACCATCTTTGAATGACCACATATTTTATTCAAGCTGGGTCTGATCTACTCTCAGTCTTTGACATAGGCACAAAAAGTTTCCCTTAGCTAAAGTGTATGGTCGATTAGCGTACTTCTGATAGAAACAGGAAGCTTGCACCAAAATAGTGGTGGAATTCAGTGCATTGAGAGAAATGTTCAAGTCTGCCTTATACTTGGAGAATAAGTGATGGGAGGTTTCCTTCTTTTATTATAGTTACTAAAACCACAGAAAGAGCACAAGACACCTTATTCCTTAGGGTTAATGAAAATAAAAGCATTTAATTGCTAGTTACAAGAAACAAACAGATTTTAAATGCAAACTCCAGTGAAATAAATGGAAAAGACTGCAACACCATTTTCATTTATTTTAGGCAAGACCCCTAGATGGACATTACTTGTAGATGTTATTGGGCTTATTCTGTTAGTATGAATAAGTGCTAATAATGAAATACACTCTGAGGAACAGCAACCAACTTTACTTCAAGAGAGTACCCAGCAACAAAAACATATGGACAAGAATGCAATGAGGAATGATTTAAGGTATACTTGATAAACATTTTACTTTAAGACTGAAACAAAACCATTTAAAGAAGCAACTGAATCTGTTTCAACATATAATACATAATTATACAATTCATTTAAGCTGAGATAAGTTACTTTAAGTACTTCATTTATATAAACAGAAAAAGCAGTAGAAAGTGTGCAAACAATGATGCTCCAAAACAGTTAATTATGAACTGCTATGATAAGGTAACAAACTTGTACTTTTAACAGCTACTGATTAAAAAACAGACTCTGTCACAGTCTGACATGGTCTGTGAGTCAAACAGAAGCATACAACCTAGACTGGCCTTAGTCTCTCTAAAAAGTCATAAATCCAGAAAGGGTTTTAAAGATATTATACTTTGTGTAGAAGAGTAGAAAGAGTATTTCAAAAGGCACTTTTGAATTTAAGACAAGTAAGGTATGATTTCATACAAAGTTAAACATTGAAGTAGTACAACTAAGACTCCTTCCTTAAGGTGGCTCCTTTATAATGATAAAAAATGTATTCAGGTCAAAATGGAAACTCCACATCTAGTGTTTTTTAGGGATACAATGGAAAGATCCAAGTGTAAAAAAAATGATATTTGTTGCAATTCCACATTGTCAGTGAGTCACTGATTTTGTGGATGAAGCTGTTTGAAGGCCTTAATTTTTTAAAAAAATACTTTTTGAACACAGTTACATGAAAAAGAATCTGTAGAGGTTTAATACATTTATATAAAATATCAGATATTGATACAAATCATGAGCATCTCCTTTGGAAAATTTCTCACCTACTAGTTACCAAAGATCACAAATATTTTTGTCAGTGCAAATCTATATTTCCCTACTACAGAAAACCATCCACCCTTAAATACAAAACATTTTGATTCTGAAATGACAAATTAATTTGGTTACATCCATCCACCCTGCCAAATTACTATAGTATTCATTATTGGTGGTGGTGGGGGGAGGGATTAAAGCTGCTTGTGCAAGTATCACTACAAACAGTCCTTCTTATAGAAAAGCTTCTTGATTCTCCCCGGATATAGATGATCCTGGGCTGAACAATGGATCCCTGTGCCTGGTTCAATTACTGATCTTCAAGCCAGGAAGGAGCATCTACTCCAGGTGTTTTCAATTTGATATGGAATAGTTTAAGGGTCTGTTCAAGCTGTTTTTGATTCCCTGCAAAATAGGCTGCAACGGCATTGTGGAACAGAACAAGTTGATTGTGCAGTACTTTCACCTGTCAAGAAAGATCAAGTTGAAGATGAAAATATATGTAATGGAATATTGAAAGTTGACACTCAAGGGATAATGAATACTTTTTGACAAACATTCTCTAAAGTGAAAAGATTAGATTTAAACAAAAATCACCAACAGAAGCAAACTTCAACTACCATTAATATCATCAACCAAATTAAATGAAGAGGCTCTGTATGATAAATAGAACCCTACCTGTGTAGTTGCACCTGACTGACTGTACTCACATGACCTGCTAAACATAATTTGGCTTAGTGACAGAGGAGCAGAACCTGCCCACAGGCTCTTCCTGTGAGTGGATGCACCAAATGAACTATGAATGACATAGATCATAGCTTTATTTGGAGGGCTACGCGAAACAAGAATTCTAGCTTGTTCTGACAAGAACAGGACAGAGAAGCCCTAAAGCAACTATAGTTTCATTCTAAAAAACTCAAGATGGTAGCTGTGATTGCACAATTAAAGCCTGCCCCCTTTTAATGTGCAACGCAACACACATTAAAAAGGGACAGGGCTTTGAGTGCATTGCTGTCGTCAAGACTTTTTTGACATTCCCCTCTCCAGAGCCTGTCTGAGACCTTTACATGTTACTCTAAACAAATATCAGACATGGCTGTTCACAGATAGGGACACTGGCTTGCAGAAGAAACCATAGGTGCAATCTTGCTCATTTGTAATAATCCGTGTTACATTTTACCACCACGCATAAATAAGCCCATTGTTTTGTTTGCTCTTTGCTCCAAGAGATAGGGTTGCTCATCAACATGTCATAAAGACTGTTTAGGTAGATGATTATTTTATCCAACAGATACACTGATCAGGTGTCTGTTTTTATCAGTTGCATCTGTTTGTCTATTTTGTTTTCTGATAAGGATATTATTGTATTTTATTGTTGAATTTAATTGTGAGCAACCAGCAATCAATTAAAGAACATATTGGCTTAAGCTTATCAGTTGGATAGAGATATGTAAGGATTATTTGTAAATAATGAACTTGTACCAATTACTTCAACACTGGTCATTATTAAAATCTGAACAAGTTTTAATTCAGCTAACAGAAAATAAAGAAGATAATAAAGAGAAAAATATGTATAGTGGGAAGAAAGGAGATCCTGAGTGTCTATAATAGCTGAGAGCCAGTATGATATTGTAATTTGAATATCTGAGTAATACTAAAGAAACCTGGACTCAAATCCCCACTTGGTCATGAAGCTTACTAGTTAACTCTTGGCTAGTTACTGGCTGAGTTCCTATATTGTGTTAAGCCATAATGTGAGCTTTTTCTTTTTGAAAGGCTTAGCTTTTTACCTAACAGATGTTGTAGCTCCTAACAACAAAAAAGCTAGATTCTCTGGTGTCTTATTAACCAGATTTACTGAAAGGGAAAAAGGAAGACAGGTTACAAAAATCTTTGCAAAATGAATATGTTTACTACTCTAATTATCTTTATATCGGTTGGGTGCATATTCCTTAATCATCTTGCTAATTCCCTTTTGAGGCAATAGAGAAGTGTTCTGGGATCCATGGGTGTGGAGACGCCACTCAGGCACAATTTGATCCAAAGCCTCAGCTGTCTTCTCATTCCAGGTGGCCACCAGAGCTTCAATTGTACTGTGCAGCAGAACTTCCAGAACAACCCCAAGCTCCCTCTAGATCCCAGCCGGGTCCATTAGTCACCTGGGGTGGACTGATCTAATAGGTCCAGCCTCCTCGTGGTGGGAGATGACACCAGGAACTGGAAGCTCACTAGGGAGTGATCTGACTATGACCGGGGAGAAACCAAAATCTCCCCCAAATTCAGAACACCTTGCCACTGCTCTGACAAAAAACCAGGTCAGGCGTATGACTACTATATATCAGGCCCTGGATGACCTGGGACAGGCCCATGGCTGTCATGGTGGCTATGAACTCTCAAGCCACCTCAGACCCCACCTGCAGAAAAGGCAAATTGAATTCCCCCAAGACCATAAGCCTGGGGAACTCTGTATTTGCATCTGTGGGGCAGTGCCCCTGGATGCCTCCCAAGTATCTTGGATGACCACTGCCACCCTATCCCCTTACCCTGGAGTCTTGGCTGATGCCACACCCAAAACTCAGCTGGGCACATCTCAGAAAGAGGACCCCTACCCCTGGCCCCAGCCAGGTTTCAGTAATACATGCCAGGTCAGCCTTCTTATCCATAATCAAGTCATCAAATTATGAACCTACATTCAGCTTTAACCAATGCCATACTATAACTTCCAACCACACATTATATAAAAAATTTAACACTAACTATATTTTAATTTTATGCCATACTATCTGACGATCTCATTTTGTAACTGTCTTTTAAGAAAAAAATAACAAAGAATAATAAATGATACGGCCCTCTTACATGTGTGGTATTAGATCTGTCCTCTTTAGAGATAGATACTGATACAGAGGTAATACAGTGGGGCAAAAAAGTATTTAGTCAGCCACCAATTGTGCAAGTTCTCCCACTTAAAAAGATGAGAGAGCAAAGGATATATAACAAAGTATTGAGATGAACTTTTGATATTGACCAAATACTTATTTTCCACCATGATTCTGTCATTGCCAACAAAGGATATATAACAAAGTATTGAGATGAACTTTTGATATTGACCAAATACTTATTTTCCACCATGATTCTGTCATTGCCAACAAAGGATATATAACAAAGTATTGAGATGAACTTTTGATATTGACCAAATACTTATTTTCCACCATGATTCTGTCATTGCCAACAAAGGATATATAACAAAGTATTGAGATGAACTTTTGATATTGACCAAATACTTATTTTCCACCATGATTCTGTCATTGCCAACAAAGGATATATAACAAAGTATTGAGATGAACTTTTGATATTGACCAAATACTTATTTTCCACCATGATTCTGTCATTGCCAACAAAGGATATATAACAAAGTATTGAGATGAACTTTTGATATTGACCAAATACTTATTTTCCACCATGATTCTGTCATTGCCAACAAAGGATATATAACAAAGTATTGAGATGAACTTTTGATATTGACCAAATACTTATTTTCCACCATGATTCTGTCATTGCCAACAAAGGATATATAACAAAGTATTGAGATGAACTTTTGATATTGACCAAATACTTATTTTCCACCATGATTCTGTCATTGCCAACAAAGGATATATAACAAAGTATTGAGATGAACTTTTGATATTGACCAAATACTTATTTTCCACCATGATTCCTCTCTCATCTTTTTAAGTGGGAGAACTTGCACAATTGGTGGCTGACTAAATACTTTTTTGCCCCACTGTACATGCCAATCCTCCATTCATGTGCACTTGGAATTTTTCACATTATCATTATCTAACATCTTGGGTCAAAAAACTCCACTTCTTTTATTGGAAAAAAAAAGGAAGCTTATGTAACCATGAAGAACAAGAGGCGTAATTGTTATTGTTATATTTTTGTAGTTGACTGAGCTAAGGAAGAGTATGTGCAACCTCTAATAAATCATACTGAGAAGAATTTCCCAGAGAAATGCAGGTACCTGAAAATGCCTGACTGCAAGCCTCCACCCTGCTAGCATAACACAAGGGAAATCTTCACGTCAGCCAAGCTAGCTCAATCCAGACATTGCCAACTTCCCCACAGATCAAAAAATGATGAGTAACATTTTTATTATTTCAAATCTGTTTTCAAATCCAAGATCAAGCCTCTTAGAAAATATTCTTTCAACTGTTTAGTTGAACCTTTTTAAAACCCACTCTCAACACAGCCCTGGACTTATTGACTATTTTTAGTCTTTGTTTGAAATCTTAAAAACAGTTATTGCCTTTGAGCTGAGTTTGAAACAAATATGCTTTTTCAGGACATTCCACGACTATTCTGATGGACAAGCTGTAAACTGTTCTATCCTCTCTAGCCAACCTCAAATTAAAATGTTACAATATAGTTACACATCCTAAATCTTTGCAATAGCTTAGATTACAAGATTTTAGTCAGCGTACCTTCAACTGTGTAAGTCAGAAGTATTACAGAAATGTTGCAACATATCACAAGAAGACTAAATGTGGAAAAGAGCTTCTGGAGTGAGGTGGTCATAAATCAAATAAATAAGAAAGTGTTTATAATCCATAACTACTACTTCTACAATTTTTGCTATTCCTTGTCTGTTGGATGCTTATAACTACAGACTGGGAAAGCAGATTTGTGTGTGAAATACGTGGGATGGCCATACTTAAAGTAATTTGCAATTACAATAATCAGACAGCAAACCTAGACACCACTATGTTTTACTGACTGAACAGGATTTTAAAATCCAGTTTTATGAATTAGACATATGCATGCAGTTATAATGCATTATGCAATTAAGACACATCCCATAATAGTTCTGGCAATACTTCTACATACCTACAAAACATCATGGAAAAAAGAAGCACATGTAAAAAGCTCACAGGAATTTGATAAAGTTACATTCCAGGCAGTTAAAAAACTGGTGCCTCCACAATATTAGCTAATCGGTGATGAAAGATGAACGTTACTATTAACAATCTAGACAAACAGGACATAAAATAATAGCACAGCACAAAATTGAATCAATTCAACTTGTTCCAATGTTTTTTCCTTTTGCTTCAAATTATACCTGAAATCATTTTCATGGCATCCAATCTGCCAATGAAAGTTTCCTATTCTATTTAGCTATTTCAGCTTAATGGACGTACTCACAGGTCCCTCTTACATTGTTCCCTTAGATTATACTACCTCGTAATTCAAACAAAAGGCTGTGTGTATATGTGCGTGCGCATGTATGCATTCGTACCTATGTATGAGAAAACCATAAGCTTGAATACTATTACAAAAGAAAATCTTCTTTGATTATTACAAGGTACCATTCAGTGGAAAGATTTTTGCTTAATTCTTTTTTTCTTACGTTGGTTTTTCTTTTTTATGTGCAATCCCTTTTTCTCCAAAATTCAAATCTGAATTTCCATAGTATAACTTCATGTTTTATGATCTTGCTTCCCAATGGCAAAATGTTTTCTTCCACTAAAGGCTTTTATTTTCAACTTGTTCATAGGCAAGATTCTTACTGTATCCATCAACCTTTATCATTTAATTCTACAAGAAATTACATAGTCAACTCATTTATTCAACGTGAGAAGTGGATTCTGTTTTCTAATTACTCAGAACAATGGTATATCAAATGCATCAACACCCTTCTCCAAATCCTAACCATCTTAGAATGTTAATACATGTAACAGTTAGGTGCTTCCCCAATATATGGTAAAATATTCTATCCAGCCACTTGTGGTATATTTAAGTTCATGGAATCAGCAATATGTACAATGTTATGTGGAGTTACAGCTAAAGCTAACATGACTTCATTTGCAAATCTGCTGGGCTTTCTGAAACACCTTCTGCCCCTTAAAGGCCCAATTTTCTAGTCATAGTTCAGAAACTGTTACAGGTAACAAAGTGATACCAAGATGAATACTTTGCTTGCAGAAAGTATTAGGTTCCATTCCAAATTAGACCAAGAATTAGAACTAAGTTTTTACTGATTTTGCTCCTGCTTTTCAACTGAATCAGGGAGGTCCTATTACTTCCGTAGAGTCCTTTTCCAAGCAATCACTAAAGATGGATTCAACATATTAAAAAAAATACACACACATTATACTCAAATTATATACCACAAAACATGGTTAGTTTGAGGTTTCTAATTAAATTGCTTGATTAAAAAGACTTTCAGGGCCCAACTCAGTTTTATCAGTGGTCATTCAGCATTCCTTTGAAAAGAGTCATCCAAGTGGCATTTCTGGAACAAACAAGGGACAGGAAACAATAGCAGCTCATAGCGGTATTCCAATCACAGGACTGGCAATGCCTCCTGACTAAGAGAGCTGGTTAGGCACTGCAATTATATAAATATATGCACCCTGGAACTGGAAGTGAGCTAGCAGGTGGAATATTTTAGGGTGAAGCTCAATTCATTTTTACACACACTACATGGCAGCATTGTCACATTTTATAGATACTTTCAAAGATAAAGCATTAATATTCATATTTATTTACTGGATCACATTAACCAACTCCTTCCCTTTGAGGAATATAACAATTATTGTAGTATGTGCATATGATCTACATTTCTGACAGCGAAAAACAGCTTGATAACAAATCTGACAGCTGCAGAAACAGATAGAAACATGCTAGCTTGCCCAAAAGAGAGGGCCAAGTAGTTTGTCAAATAGGGTAGAAAGGAGAAAAATATGCAAGAAGTTTTGAATAAAGAACTACATAAAGGCCTTATTCTTAGTAGGTGCTGAAATTCTTCAGCTATGCTTCCAATTATTACCTAGCTGAATTGGATTTCTTGTGAGCTTGTCTAAGTTTATTCCTGCCTGTAATGCCTGTCAACATCTAAAAACTGGTTATTTATATAATTTCTCCCACAGTACTCTCAAAAACTTGTGTAAGGAACTCGAACCACCAGGGAAACTGAAATTTGGTACACACATAGCCCAATATGAATAATCAAGATTCTCAAATTTAGCATTTAAATCATGAGTCAAAATTGGATAATTTTCTAGAAGAATCAACCTAGACATGGAAGAGTATACTAGGCTGTCAGGTAGACTATTCTGAGGCATCCTTCATTAATTTATGTTAGTAGTTACCACCAATTTACCCATGGTATAATTAATATAACATAATAACGAAATGAAATTCAGTACAGATCTGGATAAGGAAATAACCCTATGAATTCCAGTGCCTCATTTTCTAAGTCTGCAGTATGAACCAGCTGGTTTAGCACAAAGATGGGAGACCCCCTTAACATAAAATAAGGCTTAATATTCAGGACCGGGAAAAGTTAAGTACCAGAAAGGGAGGGAAAAAACCCTAAATAAATCTATATTACATTTAGCCTTACCCAGTTAACAGTAACCTAGTTGCGAGTTTCAATGAGATGACCAACACAATACGGTTCAAAAGCTCCTTTATGATTGTGAGGAAAGAAACTGATAAAATTCCTTCAACAGATCGGTCAAGGCTCCAGTATTAGTGTGTTATACACACATAGGCTGCTAATGAGCCCTTATCACAAGTCAAAGCAAGACATTTGGGAAAGGTGTGAATTTGGATAGACTTCCTTTCCTGCATCACCAAAGCTTAACACACAAATAGCATTTCCTGTAGACTTGCAGGCAAAACAGGACATACATGTCTTTTTGGTTCTTTGAAGGAAGAAAATCTCTGAGGGAAGCATAAGGTAAGAAAAACAGGCTCTTATTTCAATAGACCCATGAGTTTTTAGATCTTGATTTGGGAAAAAAAATCACATCTAGCAGTAACCGAGAAGAATTGGTTGCTTTATTTAACAATTAAATGCAAAAAAATCCACAAATCTATCAAACTTAATTATTCAAAACTATGGAACAAAATTAAGTATTGATGCTTTTGAACGCTGGTGTTTGGAAGACTCCTGAGAATACTGTGGACAGCCAAGAAAACAAACAAATGAATCATTGAACAAATCAAACCACACCAGGCTCAAATTATCCTACTTCAGACACATTATGTGAAGACCTAGCTTCCTAGAGAAGGCTCTAAAGCTGAGAAAGGTGGAATGAAAGAGTAGAAGAGAATGACCAGCAGTAAGGTGGGTGGACTCAATTACAGTGGCAATGAGTACAGAGTTGGAAGACCTGAAAGACAAGGTTGGGGACAGACTGTCATGGAGAAAAACCCATCTATGTGGTCACTAGGAATTGAAAATGACTTGATGGAAGATAATCAATCAATCAACTACTTAGTAATATTTATGTGCAGCAGGTCCATATGAAAATAGAATGTATTTGTAGCGGAAACAGACCCAGTGAACTCAAAGGTTAGGGTTATATTTCCCATGTTATATTATTCAGATTTAAACAGTGAAAATTAATTGACCTCTCCAGAAATTTAAAACAGTTCCTTACCTTATTTTCCTCCAAAAATTTCAATTTGACTGATACATCATTGCGCATTTTGTCATATTTCTCTTTATGTACTTGGAATAGTTGTTGTGATTGCTCTATCTTCGGCAAAGTGTTAGCATCACGAGGGCCAAGATTCAGTTCTTCTAGATCTGTACGGTAAGCATCATATTCAACCCTGGGAATAAAAGAATTAATATGATCTGCACAAATAATCACAGAACTACAACATTTAATTAGAGAGCTAGTATGGAATAGTGGTTAAGGTGTTGGGCTAGAAGTGGGAAGACCCAAGTTCTAGTCCACCCTCACCCATGGCAGTTCACTGGGTGACTTTGGATCACTCACTCTCTCTCGGCCCAGCCTACCCTACAGGGGTGGTTGTGAGGAAAAATAGGAGGAGAAGGGAGTACTATATATCTTGCTTTGAGCTTTTGTTGCAAAAGTTTGGACATAAATCTAATAAACAAACAAACTAAGGTTTATATCACAGGTATGAAACCTTGTAATGACCAAGGACTATACTCTGTTGCAAAGCTGTCACTACCTTAATGTTTTATTATTTTTAGTACTTTTACTTGACGTTTCGATCTTATTGTGTAAGCTCTCTACAGTCACTTTGTGATTGAAGCAGCAAACAAATAAAATGAAAACTTTTGAAATCAGCTGTACCTATATTGTTCATGAGTTACTAAATTTTTATTGATTTTAACAGGACTACTTTAGGGTATGTCTAAACTCTGATCGAATGCTATGTTGCAATATGAACTAAATTCAATGTTCAATAAATAACTACTTAAATTAAAATAGACAGTAATATACAAAACATTACCTGGCACTTTCATACTGCTTCACTGTCAGTAAGGTATCTTCAATAGTTTTATTTACCAAAGTATTCACACTAGCTATAAAAAAATTAATTGCACCAAGCAGAGTTTCACCATTTTTAGCAAGAAGCTTCTGAGTATCTGCGTTGTATCCAAATTCCTCCTGTTAACATATAATTTTTGAACACTTAATTTTTCTTTATTAAACTGTACTGGAATTATAACAGTAATCAAGATATTTTAATCCTCAGTATGAAAACAACCAATCCAGTTAGCTTACTGATCTGCAGTAAGTTTCTCTCATTGCAACTATGTCCTTCATTCTCTCAGTACTTTTGGGGCAGCATAGCACATGCTCTTTGATTTCAATACAGCATGAATGGCTTGTTTTGTTTTTCCTGGGTATAACATTCATGAAGTACAGACTACCTTTACAAAAAGGTGAAGTCAACTTCTTAAAATAACCATCTTCAGCCCTATAATAACTTGTGCAAAAATTGAAATTAGCAGTATTAGGTAGCATTAGTACTCAACATGGAAGGCATGTAGTATTGGATTTATTTCAATTAAGCTATCAATTATTAGCCAACAGCTTTATAAGTTGGGTTAAACACAAATGTAGACATTTTCAGCAGAGGGTAAAGATAGTTAACACAAATGAAATCTTACATGGAGTTCTAATGATTTCAAACTTAAATCTGCAAAAGCATCTCCAAGCTGTCTTTGAGTATGCACCATCTGGAAGAGTTGAGTTGACAGAGTTTGTGCCAGTTTCAGGACATTCTCATACTTCTTCTTGTTATCTCTCAATATTTCTATCTGAGCTTCTAACTCAAGGTCTACAGTTCGTGATCCACGGCCCAGCTTCTCTGAGATTATTTGACGAGTACACTGTAAAATTTAAGAGAGAAGTTTAAATTTTTGGGATTCTCATACATACAATTTACATGCATCATTTAAACTAATATCATTCATGTCACAGAATTCTAAAATTATTCTGAAAATATTACATTTGCTTTTTAAAATTCCCATATACCTTCCTGAATTCTAATTATTCTAAACAGTAAATTAATCTACTATCAGAAAAAAGAGCCGTGTTGAAAATCAGCTGAACAGGGTACTGATAAAACCTTCTAGTAATGAAAACACAAAGCTTTATTATGGCTTCTTTTATTCTGTTTAGAGTATTTTAAATATTTCATATTTTCTACAATATGAATTGTAGAAAAGAGTCCTTCTAAAGTAAAGGCTTTAATTTATTAATGAGATGAGATGAAAAATTGGGCTATAAAACCATACAGTGCAGGGCATATAATCTGTGAAGCCATTCCTTCTCCCTTGCCTTTTTGAGTTACAAATTAGTGAGGCAGCTTTCTATACAAAGTGAGCTGGGGAAAGAATTAACTTTATTAAAAAGTGCAATCATGCCTGAACTGAAAAGGAAATTCAGTGTTCCTTTTAATGCTGATGGAGGATCTGTGCTTGCATTTCATTCCTCTGCAACAAGCATTTCAAGGCTTTTGAATGTTGCTCTCATCTTAATAACTTTATGCAAAGGCAAGAAGTCTATCACCCTTTTTAATTAGTCCTCCCCTACTAAGGCTCCAGGTATATGCTTCACATAGATTCAAGTCCCCCAGAAAGCTATTCTCATTTGCCAAGTCCAGCTGCAGTAAAAAAAGAAAAAAAATCCACGACTGATTTTAAAAATGCAAATAAGTTGGAATTGTAAGTATTCACTAATAGAATAATGATCTATCTGAGAAAACTTGAGAGAGAAAATAATCTGCATGATAACACTTAGAGTAAAGAAACTAGACATCAGATACTATAGAAAGAAAGAGGTACTGAATTAATTTTCCAAGTTTTTTTTTAACATGGTGATTCTACAGTATACGCTTTCCTAAAGACAGTGATAGCTAAGGGACAGGACATGAAGATAAAGTACAAGTTTTTGTGTGACCAAGCTCCTGTATGAAAGGTCTTGAACAAAAAGAAAATATAGATAGGATGGATGGACAGACAAACAGGAAGAATCCTGTCTGTGGTTTATTTTAAAAAAATGCATATAATTCTTTGGTCACTAAAATATTATGCTGCAGGCCATAAATATGGATATTTCCAATATGGAACAGATAGGCTATGTCTGGTTTCAACATCAATATATCTGTCTGGCAACTGTATTTGACAGTAAAATATGTAGTCGTAAGCACTGGATAAAAGAGTTACCTATTTCTCTAGGACGTATAGCATCATTCAGTCACTCCATTACTGACCATGCATTGGGAAGAACTGTTGAATCTTGGTTTCAAACTGCTCCCAATTTGGGGGCAGGAGGGCATTACAACTAATCAGCTTAGTTTAGTGGGAGATCTTCCCACTGTTCAGAGAGATCCTTTTTGAACCACCTAGCATTAAACTTTTGAAAGGTTCATCCTCTGCAGAATTATATTTGGAACTTATTACAAATGCCTTCTAAAAACAACACTTCTATGTCATTCGTTGCTGATGTTTAATGGTACACAATATATAAAGATCTAATTGACAAACTAAGAAACAGTAATACATTTCAAAAGTTGGGTTAGTTTGTATGGCTGTAGGTGGCCCTTTGGATATCTTGAATGCATTACCATAGTAATTCCAGCTTTGATCTAAACTGAATTTTGAGCAGAAGATCAGAGACATTACAGCTGTTATTGCAACAGGGCTGCCTACTGTATACAAAAAGGCAAACCTTTACAGTGGTAGTTGAATATAGCAACAGTAGTTATTAAACCAGTGGACAGTATGCCACTAAGGATATGGAACATGCAAAACATGTTTCCCTTGCACCAATTTATCCAAAGTATCTTCTAGATATATTGGGACAATTTAAATTGATTCAGTCTACAAAAAACAAATATGCCTATTTGTTTGACTAAAAGTTGTCTGACTAAAAGGTAATTTTGGGTTATTGCTGCTACGGAGATTTTTAAGACAGAAAACACTCATTAAAACATTATCTTATCCTCTAAAATGGAACTTATATGACTTTAGTGTTAAGTCTGTCTTCTGGGTGGATTTAAGTAAAGAATCTATAACTGAGTTGACTAATTGATCAATACAAGCAGTCCCTGAGCTAAGAACGCCCAGGTAACAGATGACCCATAGTTAAGGACAGAGGCTATTGTAGCAAAATTTGAGTTAAATACACAATGATTCCAGTTCATTACACAATACTACTTATATAGTATTATACAATAATACTGTTCTGGTTTACATACAAATTTGACTTAAGGACAGACCTTGGGAATGGAACTCATTCTTAAACTGGGGACTACCTGTAATCCAAGTTGTAAAGCACAACAAATGTACTGACTGTTTGCAATTTGTTTTTTGAGAAGCAGAAATCCTTTAATTTTGTGTTTACTTATTAAAGCAAAGTATGTCAAGCAGTGGACAGACAGGTTACAAATAAATATCCTCACCTGAGTGACTATGGTTTTCTACCACCCCATTTCTTATTGAAAATGGGCAGCAAAATTATACTAAATCATGCAGATAGTCCTCCACAATATGCTAATGTGTAGAAGGAAGGTACATATGGATTTTTAAAAATTGAATTGTACTGCTCTTTAAAAATATAACAACATGTTTAATAAACTCAGTTATTTTATTAAACAGCAGTATAAGTACATGAACTATATTACTATTGAATAAAAGACAACATGCTTTTAAAAAGGAACCTAACCTGTTATATATAAAAAAGAGCTATCTGGTGAGGAAAAAAAAAGGAAAGGAAAGAAGGAAAAAATAATATAGAGTTTTTTTCGTTTTCGTTTTTTTCGTTTTCGTTAGGAAACAAAACTTCAAGACCACTGCCACACAGCCCGGAAGACCCACACCAGCCATCATATGCCGGCCGTGAAAGCCTTCGACAATACATTCATCTCAATACTTTGTTATATATCCTTTGTTGGCAATGACAGAGGTCAAACGTTTTCTGTAAGTCTTCACA